AAAAAAAAAAAAAAAAGGAAGAAGAAAAAAAATTTGGTTAAAATTTATCCTCAAAGCATATAAATTACTATTGGAAGGACTATTTTTGTGAAAAGCATAGATTAGATACTTGTTTTCTCTTAAAAGAGAATTTCTTAGGCTGATGTTATAAAATATATAAAAGGGTGAACAAATAAATGCTTAATAAAGTACTCAATACATCGACACTGAAAATCTTAAGAGATTTGGTTCATAGCTAATATTCTATAGAGAAATAAACTGTAACCAAAGACATTATAAATTTTAGAAAGATTGGTATAAAATAACACATTCTATAAATAGTGCTTCAAAAACTTACAACATGAAGATTAAATTCAATCATAAGTTTGAAATTCATTTTTAAGCAGTCAGATATAAAAAAGTATTATAAATGGAACTATGGTAATGGCATAAGTAACAAGTGTTTTACGGCTGGATTACAAAGGTAAAATTCTTCATTACCTGAATGCTGAAAATACATGCAATTCTGATTGCACATCTTATCCCTTCCAGGCAAAGAGAGGCTACTTCAGTATCATCACAGTCTTGTAGTCCTACACTGAATGCAGCCAGAAAAGGTGTCCAAGCCAACTAGAAAAATGAAAAATTTGAAATACATCATGGATAGCAAGTGAAAATTAAATTTTATAAAGCTGCACTAGTATTTCTCAAAACTTGCAAACTATACAAGATGTAAGAAAGTTCTGAAAAGAAAAAAATTACATTCTTAGCATAGCAACTGGAAAGTTTTTTAGAAAAAGGGGAGAAAACTATATAATGCTGCCTGGGCTTGAGTGGGAATAAACGTAAATTCAGCAATGACCTTACATATATTTTCAGAACATCTTTTATAAACCAATAAAAAGGGGACTAAAGAAGTGGCAGCAAATGATATACATAAAAATATAAGGTTTATGCCTGGCTCTGAAATTCATCCCTCTTTGCAAGTTTTGGCCCTTACAATAATTCACAGAAAATAACCAGATATCCCTTGTTCTTGGGTAGGAAGAACCAATATAGTGAAAATGGTGATATTTCCAAAATTGTTATACTGATTTAATGCATTTCCAACAGCATATCTCATACAATTAGAGAAAACAATATTAAAATTCATTTGGAACCAGAAGGGACCAAGATTAATAAAACCAATTCTAGGCAACAAAGGCAGGGGTTATCACAATCTCTGACTTGAAATTATACTATAAAGCTACCGTGATAAAAACAGCATGGTGTTGGGGGGAAAAAAACCCTGAAGATCAATGGAACAGACTAGAAGATGCAGAAATAACCCAAACACAGCCACATTATCTTTGACAAAGGGGCCAAATACATTCATTGGAAAAAAAAAAGATAGCTTCTTTACTAATTAGTGCTGTAAAAACTGGCTTTCCACATGCTAAAGACTAAACTTAGACCCATCTCTCAAAATGCACTAAAATAAAATAAAAATGGATCAATATTAAATATTAAAACAGAAACACTAAATCTGCTGGAAGAGAACAGGTAGAAAACTCTTGAGGACTTAGGTGTAGGCAAAGATTTCATGAACAAAACTCCAATTGCATGGGAAATAATACAAAGAATCAACAAATGTGATCTTATCCTACTGAGAAGCTTTTGCATAGCAAAAGAGTGAAAAGACAACAGAGTGGGAAAAAAACTGTAGCCGGTTGCCCCTCAGACAAATGACTAATATCCACAACATAAAAAGAATAGAAAAAACAAAACAAAACAAAACAAAAAACAACAGAACCTCCCCCTGCCCAAAATTTAAAGACCCAATTCCAAAAATGGGCAGCTGAAATGAATAGATACTTCTCAGAGGAAGAAGTAAAAACAGCAAATAAATAAATATATGAAGAAATGTTCAACATCACTGGTTATCTGACAGATGCAAATCAAAAACAACAGTGAGATTCCATCTCACTCTAGAAAAAATGGCTGCTATCAGGAAATTAACTTTGATCCCCAGTACCACAACCCCCTCCCCCACAAAAAAAAACCAGAAAGAAAGAAAAAAGGAAACAACAAATGTTGGAGGGGATGTGGGGAAAAAAAGGAACCCTCCTCCACTGTTGTCCTGGTGCAACCACTGGTGGAAATCAGTGTAGAGATTCCTCATAAAATTAGGATTAGAGGTCCCATTGGACCCAGCTATTTCTCTTTTGGGTATCTTCCCAAAAGAATTAAAAGCAGCATACCACAGCAATATACGCACACCTATGTTTATAGTAACACAGTTTGTAATAGCTAAATCTTGGAAATAACCCAAATGCCCATCAACTGATGAATGGAGAAAAAAGATGTATTTTTTTTCTACACAATGAAGTATTTACTCAGCCATAAAAAAGACAAACGTGAGGCATTTATAGCTAAATGGATGCACCTTGAAGCTATACTTTTTTTTTTTAGTTTTGTACTGCGGATTGAACTCAGGACCTTGTGCTTGCGAGGCATGCAGCAGAATCACTGAGCTAAATTCCCGGCCCTTGAAGCTATACTCTTTAGTGAAATAAATTGGACACACACATAAATAATGGAGTATATTGCCTCTCTGGTATAAGAAACAAAGTGTAAATAAAGACCAAAACGTATGACAGACAATATAAAAAAGGAAAAAATTGTTCAAAAAAGGGGGAACTAGGTAGGGGGGAGTGGGAAAGGGAAGAAAAAAGAAAAAAAAATCAGAAAACAAGGAAAAAATGGAAATGGGGCTTTTGTAAATATGGAGGGGAAGACAGGTTGAAGGGATGGGAGGGAATGAGAAAAAACAAGGAATCAAAATATGTCACGTATAAGTACAAATTCCTATGATGAATGTGATCATTATGCATATCTAAATTATAACAATACACTTAAAATTTTTAAACTATTACTAAGGAAAACAGAATTGTTCAGAACTTTTTAATAAAATTTTTCTGTGCAAAGAATTATAGTAGGTTTCTTACTGTTTTCCACCCCCACAAAAAAAACTTCCCCAAAAAACCTATTTGAAAAGAAAAACAAACTAAAGATATGAGATCATTTAAAACTAAAGCAGCTTTATAAAATTTTATAATACACTACTCTGTAGACTGAGGCAGGAGGATCTGAAGTTCACTTGGGCAACTCAGTGAGACGCTGTCCTAAAATAAAATTTAAAAAGAGCTAAGAATGTAGCTCAGAGGTAAAACACTTGCCTAGAATGCATAAGGCCCTAAATTTAGTCTCCATCTCCATCATCACCATCACCATCATCAAGGTTTCTTATATTTCAATATCACTTTCTGCATTTTCCAAAGGACAAGGCCAGCTATACTCAATTATTCCTTTTAGTACTGTCTCCCTAGCTCCCTCACTCTTACCTCATAATTCATCAAGTTTTTAGAAAAGCTACAACACACACACTATGAATTAGGGATAGAATTACAAAATTTTACAGTTGAAAGGAAGCATGGAAATCTTATAGTCATTTTTACTGCCCATATATATATATGTAGGAAGAATGAGAACTTATAATCTAATTCTCCTCAAACAATCTTACCATTCTGTCTCATGAACTAGAGTATACTTCACCTACTTTCCCTTTAAATTTCACTATATTCCTTGCTACTTCTCTGTAACCCTATGATGCACTGGTTACTCATTGCGGACTTTGAAGAAGAGTAAAAAAGATTAGGAGAATGAAGGAATGGGAAATCAAATTTCAAAGAGCCAATAATTATCATTCTTACTAAATCAGCCTACAAACACAATGTTCCCTTGTGCTCCTTACCCTACTTCTGAGCTTCAGCATACTCAGAACCCTGGGAGTGGAAGACCTGAGACAACAACTGATTCACGATCACTTTGAAATCTGAACTAACACCAAACATTTAGGTATAAGTCATTTGGAGAAAAATAAAGCAACAATTAATGATCATTCTCTAAAATCTTTCTATTCCTAATTCCCAAGATTATACCCCTATTAATTACTTATTGTGTATTTGTCTTCTCATTTTCTTTACTGAAGAGATGTTTTTATCTACTATGCCCCATGTAATAAAGCTATAGCTTTCAGGTTGAATGTGCTATCACTATACTGCAACTCAAAAAGACGCTTATCAAAATTATGTCTAAAGGTACACTGCAACCAAAACTTATTAGTAATTCTAACCTTAAACATAGGTCTCACATGCTCCAAATGTGTTGCACTTGTAAAAGGTGCCTGAACATGGCTCACGGCCTCCATGAGTGCTTTGGCTGTCTTGGCCATCTGTTCCATCTCTAAATTATACAGAAGTCGTCTTTGTTTTTCACTAGCTACATCTGAAACAACAAAATACTATTAGCATTTAACATATAAAGTATTTAGAAATGTTATTTCAATGTTTTACTATCAAACATCACTAAATAACATTAATTAAAAAGTCTTAAACCAGACTCAAAAGATCATATATTATATGATTCCACATATGTGAAAAACCCAGAATAGGCAAATCCACAGGGAACAAAAAGTAGAATGGTGTCTGCCAGGGTGTAGAGAGAAAGGGAATGGAATGGTAAGCCACTGCTTAATGGGTTCAAAGTTTTATTTTGAGGTAACAAGATGTTTTAGATCTAGAAAGAGGTAGTAGTGAAACAATTTGGTGCATGTACAAAATGCCAGAGGAACCATTCACTTTAAAATGGTTTTTAAAGTTTAAAAAATTCTGAACTAGGGGTCAGGAATAAGTGAAAAATCTATGAAAGGAAGAGAGCAGGGACAACTTCAACAATGAAAGGGCTAGGGAAACAATCCAAACACAGACCAGAATAGCAGAAGAGGTAAGAGACGTGGCATCCAGGCACCACACATACTTGAATAATATCCTCTAAGTTGGCAAGAAAACTCTGGCCCTAATATTACTGGATAATTTTAGTTTTTTGGGCATACCACCATCTCATTGATTTCCTGCCATCACATACAAAAGAAAGACGGAAATGATGATATTACAGGTAAAAGAACAAAAATTATATCAGACAATGGTCATCTACTTAGGAATAAAAATAAAGGCTTTATTAATATACTTTAAAAGTAAAGACAAAATAACACTATCAAATAAACTTTTGATTAATAATGGATTGGACTAAGAGCCAAGAATAACTTGCTTAGGATAACTTGCAAGGATAACTTAATATCTCTGGGCTTTAAGAGTAGGGATTGAAACGATTTTTTATGCTAGAGTCAGCTCAAAGTCTAATTCTCCTTCCTAATCTCTCTGGACTTTATCTCTAAAGTGAGGGAGGGATGCGGTGCTGCACAGTTGTAATTCCAGCATTTGGGAGGCTGAGGCAGGAGGATCAATGTGAATTAAAGGTCAGCCTAGACTATATGGTGAATTCAAGGCCAGCATGAAAAAGAAAACAAGACCCTGTCTCAAAAATAAAACAAAATAACTGCCTGCCTCACAAGTGCAAGGTCCCAAGTTTGATCTCTGGAAGCAAATAAAACAAAACAAAACAAGCTGGATGTGGTGGTGCATGACTGTAATCCTAGCTCTACGAAGGGTAAGGTAGGAGGATCACTGAGAGTTGGAGGCAAGCCTGGGCTCCATACTGAGTCCAAAGCCAATCTGAACTACACAGTGAGATCCTTTCTCATTAAAAAAAAAAAAGGTGAGAATTTACTAAAGTATCCTAGAATATAATTCCCTATAGTATTCCAAGAGATATTCTTTCGGACATTATCTCCCTACTCTTCAGACTCTTATAATTACCCAACTTTTGGAAATAATGCAACACACACAGACTTTAGTGCTTCTCTCCTGACATTTTCCTTGGAAGTACAGGCAATAAGAAAGACAGGAATCTTTCTATATTACAGCTACATTTTTAGCCATCACTCTAAGAGATGAGAAATGACCTATAGTCAAGTTTGTATCTCTAATCACTGGCATCTATATGTATGCAATGTCTAGAATGGAGCTGGATTCAGTTGCTTCCTAACGCCAGTCACAGCTAGGGACTTAAAAGTGTCATAATTTGCAATCTGTCTGCACTAGTTACTTCTAACTTCAAAGATCCTACCCTTTTCCACTTCTTATGTCACCTCTATTTCCAGTTTCCATTTATGTGTAATGATAGACAAAAAGAATTAATTACGTTGCTTGTAGCTGATGAGGAGACAAAAAGAAAGTTGAAGCCTGACTAGCGAGATGGCCCAAATAATCTCTTTGACCTCCAAATCCTTTGAGATAAAATAAAGCAGCACATATTACATGTATAACATATGCAAATTAGTGTTTCCATTAATCATGTGTTATCTTTCTTCAGGATGTGAAAAAATATAATTACATCACCAAAGTGTGTATCATAAAACTTAACAAAATATGTTTCTAACTCATTTTTATATGGGTTATTTTTTAAAAAGTAAGATTTCCAAGAACCCATATTTTCCCCTTGAACAATCAACCATTCAACTGATTTGTATACTTACTTTGCTTACTTGATTTTGTGGGGATTGTTAGTTCTTTTGTTTCTTTCATGGATATCTTTTTACCAGCTATTTCATTATAGATAGCTGACAGATACTCTTCAGGGAGGTCTTTACTGTCATTGATACCTCTATTCATTTTAATGTACTGTTCCTTTGTCATTTTGTTTTTAACCTAGATATGAAAAAACCGTTATAATTCCTAAAAATTAACAAAAATTTCACTCATTTTAGGAATTTCAATACTTATTTAAGAGATTTTATAAATACTCTGAGGAGCAGAAGTAGAAAACATTCAACAAAATATACATAAAAATGATAAAAGGAAGTCACGGAAAACAAAGTAATGTAGAAAAGGTCCATTCTGCCAAATAGTAATTTACCTTGCTCTGATATGGACATGAGTAATTTGCAATAAGAAGGAAGAATGGATAACTATTTGTTTTTGCTCAAGATTTAAGAGCTTTAGTAATCTCTTAAGTAGGGTCACGATACTTATTAAAAACATACAATCAAAAAGATTCAAATCTTAGTTCAGAAGACTGTAAACACGTTGCTAATGAATTAAAACTTGACTTTCTATGGGCCAGGTATTTAGCTCAGTGGCACCATGCTTGACTCACAAGTGCAAGGTCCTAAATTTGATCCCTGGTACCAAAAAAAAAAAAAAAATTATTTTC